GGAGCCGAGCGGCGGTGGCTGCGGAAGCGACTCGGGCTGCGCGGACACGAGCGCCCCGGAGCCCGAGAGGAGCCGGTGGGGCCCGGACGGGAGGAGGAGCCGAGCGCCCGGGCAGCCCGCGGGACTGGCACTTACCGGGCCCCTCAACCCCCAGACTTTGCAACAGCAGCTGGAAGAGGAGGAGGAAGCTGGGGACCGAAACGAGGGAGGGGATGAACAGCAGGACGCGCCCCCAGGCGAGGAGCCGGAGCCCAGGACCCGCGTCGGGGCGGCGGACGAACTGGTCCTGGACGTGCTGGGGCAGCGGCGCCCAATCCCCGCCAAGAGACAAGTTTTTTGCTCGGTGTTCTGCGTGGAGAATGACCTGCCCGAAGCCCCTACCGCGGAGCAGCTCCCACCGCCCGCGTCTTCACCTCGGGCTCCGCCGGTGACGAACGCTCCCAGCACCCCCTCCTCCTTCCCCAGCCCCCGGCTGTCCCTCCCAACAGACCCCCTGTCCCCCGACGGCGGCAGCATCGAGCTGGAGTTCTACCTGGCGCCCGAGCCGTTCTCCGTGCCCAGCCTGTTGGGAGCTCCACCCTACTCTGACCTGGGTGGGGTAGGGGATCCCTACGTGCCCCTCATGGTGCTGATGTGCCGGGTGTGCCTGGAAGACAAGCCCATCAAGCCCTTGCCCTGCTGCAAGAAGGCCGTGTGCGAGGAGTGCCTCAAAGTCTACCTGAGCTCCCAGGTAACTTTCCCCCTTCTGTCCCCTCTTCTGTTCCGCATTCAGCATTTCAAACCCCTGGCCAGGCAGTCCAGCTCGCCCGCTCCCGGCTCACGGGAAGAGGTGATGAGACACCCTTATCAAGGACCTCTGTCAGACAAGTTTCTCACATCTCACAGTTGTTTGTCGTTGTAATATTATTTAAGTGTGTTGACCTCACTGGCTACCTTAACTGGAATTTAACTCTGCATGAGCTTCAGGCTTTAGTGGAGGGAACCTGCTACAATGAATTATCCTCTGCTTCTTTCTTTTACTAAATTGCAAGCAAGAGCTCGCTCAAAAAGGAGGGCAATGAGAGGGCCTCGTGGGCCTGGTCTTCCGGAAATTAACAAATAGTGGGCACCAAATACCATAAGTACCTATTGAGTTGGTGAAGGGTTGGAATGAATATTTCAGGTCCATGATGACTGAGGTTTTAATTTTGCTCCATTTACATATTCTAGAAAAGTTTTATTTATGTTTTCATTCATTCACTTATTCATTCATTCACTTATTCATTCCTTGGCCCTTGCCCACTTAGACGTTTTCTAAAGTTGAAGTGCTTTTCCTCATTGAAGTTTTATGCCAGCACAGTACTTTATTTCTTTAAGAGGGAACAAAACAGAGCAAAACAAAGCAAAGCAAGGCTAAGAGGTTTAACAAAACAAGCAGTGGTAAAACTTTCCTCCTCAGCTCCTTATTTGAAAGCTTGTTTTTTTTCTTGGAAAGCTTCAGAGTGCAACAGACCAGCTTTCCTTCACTGATGGGGAATGAGTTCCTCCAGCAGTTTGCAGTCTGTTATGTTTCTGTCAGTGTTGTGCACAATCTGGAATGCCCTTTGATCCCGTGTTTGACTGTCCTAGGCCTAGTCGTCTTTCAAAACCCTGGCTGTTCAGGTACCAGCTTTTTTTGGTGAAGTCTTACCTCACCCTCTGGGCCACTGCTTATATACTTTCAAAATACTTCTGCGTGTCTTGCATGCACAGAACTTGTTCCTTATGTGTCTGTTTTGCCAGACTGTACGGGCCGTGGCTGGTGTTTGATAGTTTTCTGTCGAGTTTCTTTCCCGTAATAGTGTTTAAGGATGTTGGCTGAAGTGAACAGAACGGGATGCCACCCGGTGCGGTTCCTCTGTGTTCGGTGGGTAATCCATGCTGGTGTCTAGACCGAAAGTGTGTGCTGTGCCCCACCAAAAATGCAAAGGGAAACTTCGACAGAATGGAATGTTACACAAACAGTAACTTGGCCAAGATGGTTGAGATTATCCAAACGCCTGTAAGAGACTGATGTCTCTTTCATGCTTTATCCACAAACAGATACTTAAAACGGGAGGAATGTCTGCTCTCTTTGTGGTGGTTTCTATGACATCATCGGCAGACAGATATTGGTGCCATCCGTGTGCAGATCCCTGTGGTGGGATTCAGACATTCCCAAAATATGGGCCCTGCTCCCAGGAATATGGGCCCTGCTCCCACTAGGAGAGCGGATGTATATACAAGGACAGGACAAGGTAGCATATAATGAGATGGAAACAGTCACAATCCTTAAAGGCTGTGGGTTTAGAAGTTCAAGGGAGGGAGTCCTGTGGGTTGGGGTATTCTGCGTTGCAGTTTGATTTCCTTAAGGTAGGCCCTTTCCCCAAAGCAGATTTTGCTTTAAATCTCCATAAGTTAGTTTTGGGAAGTCAATATTTTGATCTCTAATGGAGAAGAGGAGTGGGGAGTGGAAGGGCGGCAGGGTGCATGCAGTGTAATAGTAATACATAACCACTAAAAACTCCTCTGAAGTGAATCTGAAGCTCATCTGTAGTAATTAGGATTGTATGAATGTCCCTGATTGTCTTCCAAAGTATTGGACAGAACTTTCAATAAAGAAAAACATACTTCATTTAAAATAATGAACAAGAAAAATATGAGTCATGCAGGCCAGGCATACTTCTACCTCAGGGCTTTTGTGGTTTGTTGCTCCTTGTGCCTGGAATATCCTCCCTAGATACCATTCCCTTTGCTTGCTCACTCCTCCCCCCTTCTCTCTTTCAGATCTCTATGCAAATGTCACTCAAATGGCCTTCACTGACCACTCTTTTTAAAGTTGAGCCTCACTCCACACTCCCATCTCCTTTTCCACTTTGTATTTTCTTCATAGTGTTAACATACTCTGTTATACTTAAAAAATTTATTTCCCTGAAGACAGGAATTTTCACATGATTTGTTCACTGCTGTATCTTTAGCACCTAGAATGCTGTTGGATATAGAACAGATGCTCAAATAATAGTTATGGAATTTAGGAAGAGCTGAGTGACAGGATGAGATTACCCCTAGTAACCATGGCCAGAAAGTGGTATTCTGCTGGGGCACTAAATTCTACTCTGAGCTTCTTCATGTTTAAGACGAAAGACAAAGTTTTATAGCAGACAGAAAGAATAGGTCTGCTAAGTTTGCTATTAAACTTAGAATTAAAGATTTTTTAGACAGACTTTTAGCTTATATGAAAATGGCATTTTTTTTTCAGTTAGATGAATAATGCAGGTCTGTGGTTGTAATATTTCTGGTCTATGTTAATTATAAGGTCCCTTCTACTCAAAGGGTCTGTGTTTCCTTGCCACTTAACCTCTCTATGCCTTAATTTCCTCATCAGTGAAATAGAGTTGCAGGCCATGATCTGCAGTGACATACCAGTTCTAAAGCAAAACAAAATCAAACTACAGAGTTGTTTTGTTGCCTTTCTGAGCCAGATCAAAGGGGCACAGTGAGTACTTTCTTTCTCATTTTATAAGCTTTCTTGGGTTTGACACACTAAAATCTGTTAAGCCTGAACTTGCAGGGCTCTTGAGACCTTTTAAAATAAAATGATGTATTTGAAATAAAAAGTTATTAGTGACATTTTTCACCATTTTTTGAATTTGTGTCAAATAGCGCATTATTTAACATCATTTAAGAAAATAAAGGAGAGCCTCTATTAAGCATTTTATACAGACATTAAAAATTCATACTAAATGTGAATTGGAATATTGCCTGGTTAAATTAACCTTCTTCTAAATGGAGATGCTGAGTTCTTTGAAGGAAGGTATGAGCTTGGAAGGTAAGAACACGGATTTTTAGATGATGTCTTATTTCCATGAGTGCCACCATGGGCTGAATATGTAACAAAGGCCGATGAGTAGATGTGGGCATTATTTCAGCACAGAAAAAGCAGATTAGGCCATGACTTAAATACCTACATACTGTGCTTTAGAAATAATAGCTTTATTTTTGAAAACATAATTCTCCTCCGGTCATCACCGTGACTGGGGCTGCAGGAAACCCCCCTTAGCGTAATGATTTTACAGTGCAGTATGTACCATCCACTTTTCACTTGCCATGGTGAAGGGGTGAACTGATAAATTATAATCTTTGGCACTACATAGGTGTTGACTCAGAGGCTCTAGAGCACCATGACATAGTGGAAGCTACATTAGTTTATATTGCCTAGGTACATAAATCGTCAATACATACGTTTTAGAAGTATTTCCCAGTGACCTCTGGCAAAAGCACACAGTCCTGGCGGGATGTCTGTAGTCTCCTGCAGGTCACTGAGCTCTTGTAAATGTTGACCTCCTCAGCCTGTTTGGCCTCTACCACATCTTCCTAGGAGGAAAGATTGTTGCCTTCTTTGTCCCAGAGAATGATAATTGTGCTTATTTCAGAAATCCTCCATTGATATCTTTCCTTTGTGACTTGGGTTTTAGACACAAAAATCTGTTACAATTTGAAGTATCAATAATTAGCTCTTTAGATAAAGGAGAGAATTGGGCATGCGAAGGACTGTCTAAAGGTAACAGCTGTCGTGGCTTTCAACACCCTGCTTCAAAGGGCTCCAATTGGCAGATGCATGTGAGTTGGAATGTATACACCTGTCAAATGAGTATTAATAGAGACAAGCAACACATTTCTTCTACAGATTGTGAACAAAACAGCTGCTAGATGGTGATGTCTTAAAATGGCAGTCTACTATAGTCACCCTAGAATCAGTGACCTAAGGGTGACATCTTATGTATCCTATTATTAAACTCTGAGTCATGCAGACCTTTCCGGGTACAAGTGTAACCTACTTTTTTCCCTTTAAATCTTAAACCAACCTGTATATTTTCAGAAACTAACGTGTTCAAGGTGGAGTTTGCACACCGCCATCTTCACTCAGGTGTGAATTTACAGATCCTGTCATGCCAGGTGTGATTTTGATAGTCCTGAAAATGTGAAGAATAATGAGACTGAAATCTGTTAAATCACTGTATGCATTCGAAAAGTGAGGGTTAAGGCCTCTGTCCACTTGGGCTTTTGTGCACAGACTTTGCGTGTGTGTGCTCACATGTGGATTTGAAGGGTGCGATAACATTTGCTTTCACACCTCACTAACTCATTCCCTTACTTCTCACTTCTGTCTCTTTAATAATATGTCTCTCATAACGTCTTCATTTCTCTTTAATAACCTCTTTTTTCTTTTACCTTTCAAAATCTGATTTTAGTGGCATTTACCTCCTGCAGAGGGATCTCCTGTTGAGGGCTGCACTCTGCGCCAGCAGGACCTAGTCTGTGTGCCGCCTAAGTGTTTCCCTTCTGGTCTCTTCCAGCTGTCTGGAGATGAGGCTGCAAAGAGAAACCCGGCATTGTGCTCCACTGCCTCAGGGATCGCAAATAACAGGACGTGTAGTACTACTTACCCAAGGCGGCAGTTGAAACCTTTAGAGTGGTGATTTTTTTTTACTTTCTAAAGTAGAGCTCAGCTTTTATTTTTATTTTTATTTTTTTTAAGATTTTATTCATTTATTTGACAGAGAGAGAGACAGCAAGAGAGGGAACACAAGCAGGGGGAGCGGGAGAGGGAGAAGCAGGCTTCCCGCAGAGCAGGGAACCCGATGCGGGGCTCGATCCCAGGACCCTGGGATCATGACCCGAGCCGAAGGCAGACGCTTAACAACTGAGCCACCCAGGTGCCCCCTCTGTGGC